GGTTCATAAGATAAGATCATGAACCTTGTTGGAATGTCTTCTGGATCAATGAAGATCCCATCAGAAGACTTTGGGGTCTCTGGGACTGTTCCCAGCAGAACAAAGACCTGTCTATTGACCTCGTGTTGACTTGGTTCCTTGATGTGAGGGTCAAAAGATAAGACCACGAACTCAGAGAAGATCATGAACCACATACTGTCTACTGGAGAACCCATCAGAAGATGTTGGGGATTAGTTTCACCAGAACGAAGATTTATGGGACCTGGCTGAGGACCTCGCGTTGACTTATCTCCTTGATGTGGGGTGTCAGAAGATAACATCACCAACTCTTAAGCTTTGGAGATTTAGAAGAGAAGATCAGGAACCATGTTGGAATGTCGCCATCCCATAACCGGCGGAAAGCGGAACAGATTCAACCATCCCAGGGATCTCCCAGGGGTTTAATCCACTGGCAAAACAGGATTAGGTTTCCACTTGGTGTTCTCTGGCTCTCTCTTTTTTTTTTTAATCCTGTGAACATCTTTGGCTGTTCCCAAGCCATAAACTGACAACGGTTAATGCATGACTGTACAGGCCTCCGTATTCATTTATATTTAGCCTGACCCATACTTGAACTTCTCATTCCTCCAGCTGCCAGCAGCAACCTTTATAAAATATAGATATATATGCAAGGATAATTATCTTTAGGGGCCTTTCCCCCCGCCCTTCTCTTAGACTTGCAAGTAGCCTAGAGGAACCTACAGAACATTTCAAGACTGCCGAAAGCTGCCCTGGAAGGATGTGAAGTCATGGCATCCACCCCCAACCCGCACCAAACCATTGGGGCCAGTATGTTAAGACAACATAGAATAACAAGGTTGGAAGAGGGACCTTGGAGGTCTTCTAGTCCAACCCCCTGCCTAGGCAGGAAACCCTACACCACTTCAGACAGATGGTTGTCCAATCTCTTCTTAAAAACTTCCAGTCTTGGAGCATCCACAACTTCTGGAGGCCAGCTGTTCCACTGGTTAATTGTCCTCACTGTTAAGAAATTTCTCCTTAATTCCAGGTTGCCGTTCTCCCTGACTAGTTCCCATCCATTATTTCTTGTCTTGTTTTCTGATTGCTTTGGAGAATAAATTGAACCCCCTCTTCTTTGGGGCAGCCCCTCAAATATTGAAACACTGCTATCATGTCATGCCTAGTCCTTCTTTTCTCTAGACTGGTCATACTCAATTCCTGTAATGGTTCTTCGTATATTTTAGCCTCCAGCCCCCTATATTTTACTTACTAAGTCTTTCTATAAAGCCTTAGTAAGACCACACCTAGAATCCTGCATCCAGTTTTGGTCACCGCACTATAAAAAAGGATGTTGAGACTCTAGAAAAAGTGCAGAGAAGAGCAACCAGGATGATGAGGGGACTGGAGGCTAAAACATACGAAGAACAACGTAACACTAAATAGCAATAACAGAGGAATTCAATCAAGATCAAATAAGGTACTAATACCACTCTACAAAGCCTTAGTAAGGCCACACTTAGAGTACTGCATCCAGTTTTGGTCTCCACACTATAAATGTAGATGTTGAGATTCTAGAAAGAGTGCAGAGAAGAGCAACCAGGATGATGAGAGGACTGGAGGCCAAAACATACGATGAACGGTTGCAGGAACTGGGCCTGGCTGGTCTAGGGAAGAGAAGGACCAGGGGAGACAGGAGAGCGTATTTCAATATTTGGGGGGCTGCTCCAGAGAGGAGGAAGGGGGTCAAGCGATTTTCCAAAGCACCCGAAGGCCAGACAAGGAACAATGGATGGAAACTGATCCAGGAGAGATTGATTCATCCTGGAACTAAGGAGAAATTTTCTGACAGGGAGAACAATCAACCCCTGGAACAGAAGTTGCCTTCAGAAGTTGTGGGCGCTTCATCCGTGGAGGCTTTCAAGAAGAGTCTGGACTGCCATCTGTCAGAAATGGTGTAGGGTCTCCTGCTCGCGTGGAGGGGTTGGACTAGAAGACCTCCAAGGTCCCTTTCCAACTCTGTTCATCTGTTCCATGTTAGGCCCCCAGCCCGCTAATTATCTTTGCGCTGTTTTCTGCACTCTCTTTCCAGAGTCTCGAGATGTTTTTGGGGCGGGGTGCAGAGGAGTTCCTGGCTTCCTTCCAAGCCAGTGTCATAAATTTGTACTCCCAATGCTCTTGTTTTCTCCTGCCCTGGGTCAGTCCTCCCTTGATAAATGTCTGCTCAAGAATATGGTTTCGAGAGGCATTTAAGGAAATGGAGTGAAAAGCGCTGCACTAAATCACCCTTTTCAGCCGCGGGGAGACAGGCAGGCAGGCAGCTGTCCCAGAACCGACTGGCTGTCCGGGAAGTGACCGTCTGGTGGTGCCTGACCTCCTTTAACCCCGGCCGGTGGGCATCGATCCCAAAGAGGATCCGAAGCTGCCTTTTCAATGACCGTCAGGAGGTGTCACAGATCGTTAAGCCAAGTGCAAAATTTCTCCGGAGAAGATCGGGGTCATAAATCAGTCTCTTTGAAGTCACGGAGGTTTGTTTTGCGCACTTCAGCTTCCAGATGCTCCTGAGAAATCTACGGCCTGATTCAGAGGAAGCCCTGGTGGGTCTAGTTTCTGACCGCAGGATGCAAACTTGCTCGCCCTGATGACTCACCGACTCTCTGCGAGCGAAGGGTCTCCAGGTCGGAGCAAAAGCCGCAAAACCCTTCGTGAGAGACCAAACCCTTGCTCTTTGGCGCGTCTCTCTCGTTTCTGGTCTCCCCACCCAATTTATTCAGAAACTTGAATCACTTGCGCAAGGCGTGGGAAATAAAAAAGTACCCACGCACGAGGGGAGTTTCCAGTTAAAAACAGCTTGGAAAAGGGCACAGAGCCCATCTTCCAGATTGCCCCAGAAGATCCAATTTGGGTTGAAAAAGCTGCTCGCTCAGAGATCTCCCCTGGAGTCCCAAGTAATCTTTCCGATTGATCACTGCTTCCCCAGAGATCTCCCCGGGAGTCCAAGTGATCTCCCCAAAAGATCACTGCTTCCTGAGAGATCTCCCTGGGAGTCCAGGTGATCTCCCCAAAAGATCACTGCTTCCTCAGGGATCTCCCCGCGAGTCCAAACATATCCGGCTGCTGAAAATCGGATCGCTCCTCCTCAAAGAGGATTCCCGTCATCCTAGGCAGGAAAAATCTGCAGGCGTCTAAGGTTAAACATTCAGGAGTGCCACAGCACCCTGCTAGCTTTTCATGGGAGGTATAGATAGTCCTTGACTTACAGCCATTCAGTTAGTGACCGTTCAAAGTTACAATGGCCCTGGAAAAAGTGACTTGTGGCCGTTTGTTCACACTTACGACCGACCGTTGCAGCATCCCCGTGTTTTGCTCCCATGACCAAATTCAGACACTTGGCCCGCTTGCTCCTAGTTACGTTGGTTGCTCTGTGTGTGTCACACGATCCCATTTTGCCGCTTTCTGACATGCGAAGTCAATGGGGGAGCCAGGCTCCCTTAGTAGTCCCGTGCCACTAACTTCACAGCCGCAATTTCGCTTTGAACAACGGCGGAAAGAGGGGTCGCTGAATGGGTTCAACGCTCACTCAACAGCGGTCTCACTTAGCAACAGAAACCACGGGCCCCCTTGCGATTGTAAGTCAAGGACTTCCCGCATCTACCTCCTTCCTTCCTTCCTTCTTCCTTCCTTCTTCCTTCCTTCCTTCCTTCCTGACCCAGGCTTCGTCAAATTTAATGAAACATAAACTTATTGTAAAAACAAAACCTATTTTAATGCAACACTGGGAATCACTTTCATTCTCAGCCAGAACTATTTATAAACAGTTCCCCCAGATAAGAGCACGCCTTTCAGTACTGTAGCAAGCTGCCAAAAAACAAAAGTTAATTATAACATAAACTAACCAAAGTCCCAGAAAAAAACCCAACCAGAATTCACGGAGCTTCCAGAAGGACTCAGATACTATTGAATTACTTTGCTTCCTGCAAAGGTTTCGTCATTGAGGTCTGACTTTTATCCCTTATGGGAGGGGCAATCACCTCCCCCAAGTCGCCCCTTCTGCTTCAGCTGCTCTTGCCTTCTGGCAGCTCCGTGCACACGCACACTGGGAACAGGCTCCCCTCGTTCCTCTGCCTCGCTGCTGCCAGACTCCAGAGGCTCTGGAGGCAGCACCCCACTTCCAGATGGTCCTGGCCCCATCTCTGCATCGGACACAGGACTTTCGTCTGAGTTCTACCCGGACTGGTCCCCTTCCTTCCCCACTGTCCGGCTGCACCGGCTGCCGGCACAGCGCAACACCTTCCTTCCTGGCGCCCGTCGTCTTTTCACTTACTTGGTTTTCTCCGCCGGGTCCTGCTCGTCTATCTCGTCGGCGCTGCAAGTGGCGCTGGAGTCGCTATCAGAGGCGGCACTTCCAGTTTTACTGGCTTTGGGGCCCCCCTCCTCCTTCTTGGGGGCCTCCTCGGTTTCTGCCGCCACCCCTTGACCAGTCTCGCCCTTCTGCTCGTCGGCCTTGTTGTCTTCCGGGAGATCTGCCGCTTCCTCCTCCATTTTGATCTCCGCCCCATCCGGTTCGGTGTCCTTCGGGTTTCCTTCTCCATCTTCTGGTTTGATCGTATCAACTGTCGGTTCCTCCTGCGGCTTCTCGCTCCCCGCCAGGCCAGGCTCGCTCCCGCCCGGCGCCGTCTGACCAGCAACGTCGACGGCCTTGTCTTCCGGGGACATCGGAGCTTTCTCCGTGTTGACCGTCGTCATCCTCTCTTCTTCGGCCTCGGGATTCAGTTTGGACTCGTTTTCTGGAGGCTTTGGGGGATCGAGCCTCGGAGAAGGCAGGCTGTCTGTGTCGGAGCTGTTATTAACGGCAACTGGAATTAAAAAAACACAATAAAGACACACTGTTCATTTCGGTGGCCAGGTTCCATTTGCAACGCACAAATGCTCGGCGTCCCAAAGGAGCCCTAAACCAAATATATTTTATGGCAGCGAGCTGTTGAGTTAGTTGCAATGCATTATTTAACTCGGAAGAGTTGCAGGCTACGACGGTGGAGGTTTTGAAGAGAAGCTGTTTGTGATTTTTTTTTTTTCTTGCAAGCAGGAAGAGACGCGGTGCATTTTCTCCCACTAGTGTAAAAATACCAAACTGAAGAAAGGAAAGAGGTCTTTGATAGAGAAGCCCATCATGATAAGTTTTAAAACGAATCTAAACCATGTTTGTTCTGGAGAGTCTGGGGCCAGAGAATTTCGTAGGGAAAGTCCAGAACAAAAACATGGTTTAGATTCGCTTTAAACTATCGTGATGGGCTTCTCTACCAAAGATTTCTTCAGTTTGGTATTTTTACACCAGAGGGACTCTTCAAATAATGACCACAACTAAGCCCAACCTTTCTGTGGCTAATTCAGACTTGTCTTAAGTGAGTTTTGCCCGATTTTACGACCTCTTTTGCTACACTTGTTCAGTGAATCACAGCAAGTGGGCTAAATGAGAAATACTACGGTTAAGAGAATCGGGCTTCTCCATTGACTTTGCTTGTTAGAAGGAAGCAAAAGATGGCGAGGAGACTGGAGGCTAAAACCTACGATGAACGGTTGCAGGAACTGGGCCTGGCTAGTCTAGGGAAGAGAAGGACCCGGGGAGACAGGAGAGCATCTTTCAATATTCGAGGGGCTGCCCCAGAGAGGAGGAGGGGGGTCAAGCTTATTTTCCAAGGCACCTGACAGCCAGACAAGGAATAATGGAGGGAAACTGAACAAGGAGAGATTCAACCTGGAAATAAGGAGGAATTTTCTGACAGAAAAATCAACCCATGGAACAGAAGTTGCCTTCAGAAGTTGTTGGAACTTCATCACTGGAGGCTTTCAAGGGGAGATTGGACTGCCATTTGTTGGGGATGGTGTAGGGTCTGTTTGGGCAAGGGGTTGGACTAGATGACCTACAAGGTCCCCTCCAACTCTGTTAATCTGTTAAATTCACTGTTAAACCAGGTTAAGACCCCGGGACACTACCACTGTCATAAATATGAGTCAGGTTGCCAAGCGTCTGAAGTTTGATCATGACCATAGAGATGCCACAATGATCGCAAGTGTGAAAAATATCATAACTCCCTTTTTTTCAGTGCCATTGTAACTTTGAACGGTCGCTAAATGAACCATTGTAAGCTGAGGACTGCCTGTAATCGTTTTTAGGAAGGCACCTTTTAGCTGCCGATGTATTTTTCAGTTACTATAAAGATTACCATCGTTTGCAAGGGAGGTTGCGTGTCTTAATTTCGGTTATTTTTCTTGAACTAAGCACAGCTTTTCCCTAAAACAAAATCTTGCAGAACCATGACATATATAAACACACACACACACACACACACACACACACACACAAAGAGAAATCACTAAAAACTATACTAAAGCCAGACAGGTTCCAAACCAACGGACATCAAAACCCATCCTCAGGTGGGAAGTCACCTTGGGGTGACCTGAGCCATGTTCCACTTCAAGGACCTCCAAGGGTTGTGTACTCAACACACAAATTGCACAAACACACAGCTGCACCTTTCAAGGATAATTAGAAGATGTGCCCCCTGTTTTTTGAGAAAAATAGATCGGGGCTTATCATCTTTTCATTATTAACCTGTTCTCCTGAGTTCCTGGAGTGGATTTTTAAGGTTGCTGCTATTAATCTCCTACCAACCTTGACCAGCATTTCACTTCACTGAGATTGCAGCTGTAAAAAACCATAACCACATAAAAACCTAATTGGAAGGCTGCAGGATTTCTTCGCAGACGGGAGGTTGCTATTATTTTATTTTTATGTTTTTTTTTTCAGTTGGGAAGGATTGGCAGGTCTTCAAAAGGTCAGAGAGTTAATGTTGTTTTCCTCTTTCCAGCACTGAGGTGACCATGAACTGGAGACCATCTACCCAGATGCTTCAGAACAGGCGAAATTCAATTTCAAGATTTTCTGAAATCCTTTACGGCACGCAGAGCGAATTCGTTCTTAATTTCCAGGTTCCTCTTCTCGATTTTCTGGGTCTTTAGATGTTACAAACAGACCTCAATTGGCAAGCATTCATTCAGTGATCCATCTGAAGCGACTTGCCATGAATGTGATGGGGATTCTCGATCGTCCATGTCATGCTTATCCCAAATGTTTTATTCCCCCTCTCCAAAAAAAAAAAACACAGTTGGACTTTCTTTTGATGTTTTCTTTGAAACACCATTTTGCTTCTCAGGTTACAGATTAACAGAGTTGGAAGGGACCTTGTAGGTCATCTAGTCCAATCCCCCCCCCACCCAATCAGGAGACCCTATACCATTCCCTACAAATGGCAGTCCAGTCTCTTCTTGAAAGCCTCCAGGGATGAAGCTCCCATAACTTCTGAAGGCAACTTCTCTTTCATTGGTTCATTGTTCTCGCTGTCGGAAAGTTTCTCCTTATTTCCTGGTTGAATTTCTCTTTGATTAGTTTCCATCCATTGTTCCTTGTCTAGCCTTCAGGGAAAGGAAAATTGACCTCCTCCTCTCTGTGACAGCCCCTCAAATATTGGAAGATGCTCTCCTGTCTCCCCTGGTCCTTCTCTTCATTAGACTAGCCAGGCCCAATTCCTGCAACCGTTCATCGTATGTTTTAGCCTCCAGTCCCCTCATCGTCCTGGTTGCTCTTCTCTGCACTCTTTCTAGAGTCTCAACCTCTTTTTTTTTATAGTGTGATAACCAAAACTGGATGCAGTACTCTAGGTGTGGTCTTACTAAGGCTTTATAGAATAGGATTAGTACCTCCCTTGACCTTGATTGTATCCCTGTGTTAATGTAATTTAGGATTGCATTGGCTTTTTTGGCTGCTGCTGCACACTGCTGGCTCCTATTTAACTGGTTGTCCACTAAGACTCCCAAGATCCTCTCACAGTTCCTGCTATTAAGCCTGGTTTCACCCAATCTATATGTGTCCTTTTGGTTTTTCTTGCCTAAGTGCAGGACTTTATTTTTCTCTACATTGAATTTCATTTTCTCCAATTTCGTCCAAGAAGCTTCTTCTGAAATGAACCGAAGAAGCTTCTTGGATGAGAAGTGAAATGTTTTCAACGAAAACATTATGAAAGTCCAGCTGCTTTTGGGGAGCGAGGGGGAACCCGCACATTTGGGACTTGCAATGGATTGTTGCAAGTGAAGGATTACCTGCCCTGGTGTCCACTTTTCAGACCAGGGTGGTAGTGAAACCTGAGCGCCACACTCAACGTGAACCAGAGTCACAGATTTGCTACTAGGGTACTAAAGTCCGAGGCAAGACAAGAAACAACGGATGGAAAGCGATCAAACAGAGAAGCAACCTGGAATTCAGGAGAAACTTCCGAATAGTGAGGACAATTAAGCAGTGGAACAGCTTGCCACTAGAAATCGTGGGTGCTCCATCGCTGGAGGTTTTGAAGAAGAGACTTGTCTGAAATGGGACTAGGGCAGGGGGTTGGACTAGATGACCTTCAAGGTCCCTTCCGTGTCTTTTCTGATTGAGTTCCCTTTCTCGGCGGAGGGACTTGCTTGCAACAATTCAGACAGGTGACAGCTCCATTGTCAAACATGACTTGAAGGGGACATCGCTCTAGATTTTGGGAAGGGGAGAAGATTCTTGATGAGCAAATTCCTGCTGGCTCAAATTAACCCGGCGGCAAACGTGGAAATTCTTTGCAATCAATGCTCTGAATTCGATAAACAGGTGCGGAATGACACAGCCACCTCATCTTCATCATCATTTTTAAAAAAAAAAAAAAGCAACAATGCCTGGTTGCATCATGAGAACTTCTGGTTCATTGCACAACCCTGAGCGCACAGGTAAAAGCAACATTCGTCCAGGTAGAAGCCTTCCCCAAATTTAATTAAATCCGCCTCGCTCATTCGGAGCACAGAATGTGTCTTGGCTTGGAACTGGTGCAACCTGGGATTCCTGGCACCGCGGAAGAACATCTATCTTTCTATATCCTTTTTGGCTCCATCCAAAAAGGATTTATTTATTTTTTTTCAATGCTGGCGCGGCCCAGGGAACGGAGTTCCATGCTCCACCCCAGCTCTGGGATCGGATCCAAGGAAGGCACCACAAGGACGCAGGGAATGTGTGTGCGGGGCTTGCCAACACCGTTGACACAAACCGAGGCAGGACGGAGGAGGAAGCCAGACCTCTGGGCTTGGGTGGGGTGGTAAGGTGGGGTGGGGGGTGGGGAGAAGGAAATGAAGTCTTTGTTTCCTGAAATTTATTGGGAAATGTTCAGGTGCTGAATGATGCTCCAGAAGAATGAGGCATGGGAAAAACTCTTGGGAGGTGGATCAAAATAAACAAGTGGAGAAGTTATAAATATATCTCTATATTTTTATATATATCTATATCTATCATCTATCTATATCTCTATATTTCTATATCTATCTATCTATCTATCTATCTATCTATCTATCTATCTATCTAT